AGAGAGAGAGAGAGAGAGAGAGAGAGAGAGAGAGAGATCTCTTTCTGTTTGATCACGAAGCCTTTTGATTGGCAAAGTAAACAATAAAATATATCGTCATTATAACTTCATCTTCCAAATCATAAAGTGACTGAACATTAAACAGGCGTTTTCAGCGAATTCCTTCTTAACAGCTTTGACTTTGGACCAGTTTATGCTTGAAGTGAATTTGTGTTATTTGAGGATCTAAAAAAATATATTGATCAACCCTCAGAAATTGTTACAACATAATTGTTTGATTTTAACATAAATTGGTGTTATGCGATTTCAAGGTTCATGTAAAGTAATACACAATGTACTCATATAAGCTTAGAAAAAAGGCGATAATGAACTCAAATAAGCAAGTAATTATGAAAATTCGTGTATTTCTTCACGTTTGTGTATTTGTCACGTATATTTAAGCAAAATGAAATACCACTGGAAATCAAAGTACATTTACTACGGGAACGAAATAAACATCAATACCAGAATCCAAATGTGTTTATTCTCTTGTTTGGTTGGTTTGTAATTGTTTGCTGTTGTTTTTTTTTGTTTTTTAAAAAGTCTAAGTTTTTAGTTTTAAATGTACAAAACATGTGGGTATTTTAACATACAATTGTAACGCCAAAGGATCACACTGTTGTATATCGGGAGACAACCAATCAGGTGGTTTGGGCACGTAATGAGAATGGGTCCACAACAATTATATACTAGCCTCCAAGGCCTACAACATTTACGATATTGTAGGCTGCTTGTAATAGCCCCAAGGCAAAGGAAGGCCGAGAAAAAGATGGATCGACGGAGTAAAAAAGACCCTAAAAAAGAACAACATGACAATCTAAACATGGACACACCTGGCTCACATCCGACAACTGCTTCTCCTTAGTTTAGTTTTAGTACATGTAGAGGTTTTTACGGCGCTCACAACTGCATAAGGGCATATGACCGCCAGATCAGAAGATTAGAGGTGTTACAAGAGAGTAACAAACACAAAAAAGGAGAAGGGGAGATAAGGACGATAGATGTTTCATAGGCAAGAAGAAGCAAACCACACTAGAGCACCCGCGCACCAACCACACACTACTGCATCTCCTCTCAACACCTGGCCGTATAACTTATAAGAAGAACAGAAAAGGTACAAAGTTTTAAAAAGTAAGTAGTAGTCGGCCCAGAATGTTGAAATGTGTCTCTTTGATTTGTCATAAGATAAAATGCTAAGAAGAAATTGATTGAATGCTGCTGATTGTTTCGTCTTGTTTTCTGCTGTAGTATCGTAATCGTTGTAATTATTGCTGTTGTTGTTGATGAGATGTATCATGTTCCCTATGATGCCCTTTACCGGGCGAAACATTGAACCTATAATAAAATTGAAATTTTTATTCCCTGCTATTTACAAAGATGATGATGATGATGATGATGATGATGATGATGATGATGATGATTATAATGATGATGATGATGACGGTGGTGAAGAAAATGATGATGATGATGATGATGTTTTTTTTTTGGGGGGTGAGGGAGGGGAAAG